GAATGTCAGTTGTTGTATGTATGTGTCTGGGGAGCGGATAGCACACTACAGTACACACCTGGCAACCCGTGTTCGATTCCCATTCACGACCAACACCAGTGACGATTATCTGAACCGGTCCTGGGCCTCCCCTCGGTCGACTCCGCCTCAAATGAGTACCTGGTGCGGTGTGTAAACAACACCAATAGGGAGACAAAGGCGGCTGGGCGTGGTGTTGGCAACCCATCGTGTACAGTGTCGGCCTTCATAGGTGCTCGCTAACAGCACTTGCCCCAATAGTCTGCTAAGACTTTACGGGTGATCTTTGTATGTGTCAGGATTGATAGTGTATCAGGTTAGCGCTACACTGGTCTCACAAACCCCGTGACCCGAGTTCGATTCCCCCTCATGCCCAATACCGGTGACGATTATCTGAACCGGTCCTGGGCCACCCCGAGGTCGACTCAGCCTCAAATAAGTACCTGGTACGGTGTATAAACATCACCACTAGGGAGACTAAGGCGGTCAAGCGTGGTGCTGCCCACCCACCTACTTGTATGCCGTTAAGGCCTGAATATTTGATTCTAGCTAACAGCACTTTCTCCAACAGTCTGTTAAGGCTCTCCAGGGGATCTTTGTCTTTGTGTGCGCTTGCAAAAGTGTGTGTATGTCTAGTGGCGTTATTTCACATGGACAACCTGCCAGCTTCTCCACTGCTAGCTTCTCGCCATACACTCTGCTAGCTGCTCCACTGCTAGCCTCTCAATATACACTCTGCTAGCTGCTCCATTGCTAGTCTCTCACCAATACACTCTGCCAGCCTCTATACTGCTAGCCTGTCTCACATTCACTTCTCCAACCTCGCCCTTGCCTCCAGCGGGGGATCAGCCAACACCGCTGGAGAGGACGAGGTGTGGCGAGTGGGGTCCCGGACTTCTCGTGAATTCACTCTTGTCTTCACTCCAAACCAACTCCACTCCTCTGCCTCACACCTTCCCCTTTAATGCTCCTTCTCATTGAGTGCCCCCAGATGGCCTTCATTAAGCCGGCATCCTCCCCACGCCTCACGCACGTGTTCTCCTCCCCCACGTGTTCTCCTCCCCCACGTGTTCTCCCCCACGTGTTCTCCCCACGCACGTGTTCTCCCCCACGTGTTCTCCCCCACGTGTTCTCCCCCACGTGTTCTCCTCCCCCACGTGTTCTCCCCCACGTGTTCTCCCCACGCACGTGTTCTCCCCCACGTGTTCTCCCCCACGTGTTCTCCTCACCCACATGTTCTCCCCCACGTGTTCTCCCCATGCACGTGTTCTCCCCACGCACGTGTTCTCCCCCACGTGTTCTCCCCCACGTGTTCTCCTCCCCCACGTGTTCTCCTCCCCCACGTGTTCTCCTCCCCCACGTGTTCTCTCCCACGTGTTCTCCCCCACGTGTTCTCCACACGCACGTGTTCTCCCCCCACGTGTTCTCCCCACCCACGTGTTCTCCCCCACGTGTTCTCCCCACCCACGTGTTCTCCCCCACGTGTTCTCCCCACGCACGTGTTCTCCCCACGCACGTGTTCTCCCCACGCACGTGTTCTCCCCACGCACGTGTTCTCCCCACGCACGTGTTCTCCCCCACGTGTTCTCCTCCCCCACGTGTTCTCCTCCCCCACGTGTTCTCCCCCACGTGTTCTCCCCCACGTGTTCTCCCCCACGAGTTCTCTCCCACGTGTTCTCCCCCACGTGTTCTCCCCCACGTGTTCTCCCCCACGTGTTCTCCCCACGCACGTGTTCTCCTCACGCACGTGTTCTCCCCCACGTGTTCTCCCCCACGTGTTCTCCTCACGCACGTGTTCTCCCCCACGTGTTCTCCCCCACGTGTTCTCCTCACGCACGTGTTCTCCCCCACGTGTTCTCCCCCACGTGTTCTCCCCCACGTGTTCTCCTCCCCCACGTGTTCTCCTCCCCCACGTGTTCTCCCCCACGTGTTCTCCCCCACGTGTTCTCCCCCACGTGTTCTCTCCCACGTGTTCTTCCCCACGTGTTCTCCCCACGCACGTGTTCTCCCCCACGTGTTCTCCCCCACGTGTTCTCCCCCACGTGTTTTCCACACGCACGTGTTCTCCCCCACGTGTTCTCCCCCACGTGTTCTCCCCCACGTGTTCTCCCCCACCCACGTGTTCTCCTCCCCCACGTGTTCTCCTCCCCCACGTGTTCTCCCCCACGTGTTCTCCCCCACGTGTTCTCCCCACGCACGTGTTCTCCCCACGCACGTGTTCTCCTCCCCCACGTGTTCTCCCCCACGTGTTCTCCCCCACGTGTTCTCCCCACGCACGTGTTCTCCCCCACGTGTTCTCCCCCACGTGTTCTCCCCCACGTGTTCTCCCCCACGTGTTCTCCCCACGCACGTGTTCTCCCCACGCACGTGTTCTCCCCACGCACGTGTTCTCCTCACGCACGTGTTCTCCCCCACGCGTTCTCCCCCACGTGTTCTCCCCCACGTGTTCTCCTCACCCACGTGTTCTCCCCCACGTGTTCTCCCCACGCACGCGTTCTCCCCCACATGTTCTCCCCACGCACGTGTTCTCCCCCACGTGTTCTCCCCATCATCTCCACTATCTCTCGCTTCCGTGGCGCCTACTCCGCGTTTGAATTTGCAGCCAGCCAATCACTGCCTCTTTCCCGAATTGCTGGCGTCTCTGTGCCTGCACCTGCTTATCCTGAGCTGACCTCACTGTCTGCAACCCCGTACATAATTCAACCGCTGTTTTCAAACCATGCGCGCATTACATATATATTCCGAACGGTAACCCCTTCGTAAATCGGGGACGGAAAAATCCTCGCAGAAGTTCCACGGGTTCGTGCTAGTTGAAAATTAATGTTTCACATATGTTGCGTGCTAAAAAAAATGGACTAAAATAAAAAAAAATGTCTAGACAGACAAAGTAACAAAATTACCACTTGCTCCATTATAGTATCGAGTGTGCCTTTCCTTTACAATTATGTACACTTGTTCATTTGTTTTGCAGGAAACGGTCTAATGAAAAAACCCTGGCGTGAAGTGGATTTCTCCCCCAGGTATATCTTCTTCTTCTTCCGCGCGTATGTTCCACTCATGTGGGGTCTCTGTCCTTGCCAGCCTTCTCCACACTGCCCTGTCCTGCGCCATCTCTCTTTCCGCTCCTCGGACAACTATGGTCCGATTGTACCACATCGTCCCTCCACCTATTCTTCTGCCTCCCTCCTCTAGATCTCTTTCCTTCTCCATGCATTACATGCACCTTCTGACCCACATCATTTTCCTGTTGTCTCTCCACACGATCGAACCACACCAGTTATTTTTCTCTCTCATCTTCTCTGTCATTTCTACCACCGCGATTCTTCCTCTAAATTTTTCATTTCTCACCGTGTCTTTCCTTGTTAAACCAAACATCCACCGCAGCATCCTCATCTGTGTGACTGCTTACTCGTTTCTTATTCTTTCTCGTGTCTTCACAAGATACATCTCTATGCTTCTAATATCATCTGATTACAATTCCAGGCTGATTATGTCATGCGTGTACACATCTGGGTGTGTGATGGGCAGCTGAGACATCTGGGCATAGTAGTAGGGGAGGTAGCGTGCATAATTCATCCATGGGATCATTGCTCGAATGCTTGCCAAGTGTAGCATCCAGTCTCCCTCTCTGGATGCTCGGATTAGCCCCAACAAGATTTCAATCATGTCCAAATAGGACGTCCAGAAGGTCGAGAGGCTGCCGTTTCCATCTCTGAGGAACTCGCGGTAGACTGCAAACAGTTCCATGATGCGTGTACATGAGCTGTTCTCGAGGACCTCCTTCAAAGCAGCTTGTGAGACTTCTTTCCCAAGGTTGGCAATGATCCTCAGTGTCTCATCCAGGTAAACCGTATCGTTTATGCGAGTTGCTTACAACCAGGACAGGACACCATCCCATGTCATTCGCATGAGAGCTTAGTACAGGAGTTTTGTGTAGTCGCACTGCCCTGTTGTACTTGCGGCCATCCATAACACCTCCAGGGAATATTTTGAATACAGTCAGAAGATAGAGATCTTCAAACACCACACAGATGGAGACAATGATCATCCAACATCCACGTTGTTGGGCTGGCCATGACGTCTGGAGGGATGACTTCGGAAACAAGTTTTATTATCTCGGCTCCATTAAGGAATAAACTAAAGAGGGAAGAAAATGTCCTTCAAATAGTCCTCAATGCCGACACGACGTGCTACATGAACTACAGCTCGTAGGAGAATGTTGCACAGTATCGTTACGGGTGGGGTAGGAGTCTGCTGCTGGAAAAAAAAAACCTCACCTTTGAAACCATATGACGACAACAGGTATAGGAAAAACTGGAGTGGCATAAACAGCAGCGTAGCTTCAGACTGAATCAACAACCCGGCGCCCGAAATCCAACTCAAAAACACTTGGTGCCCGAGCTGTAACAGTGTCCGTCAATCCTAGATTGGTCTTGACCATCTTCGGACCCACAAAAAAAGGACAATGAAGACTTGTGCATTTATCTTGCTATAATCTTGTCTTCACGCTAGCCTAGATGTCCACTGTAATCCACACAGGGAGTTATTATTATTATGATTTCAAGGACCCAAATGTACTGACTAAACAAATACACTACAATGTGACAACGTACTGTGACTAGTACTGGCAGTGTCACTCGACTCCCGTGTGGGTAATTATTGGGATATTGTACTCCCCTCCAATTCCTCTGCGCTCTCGTTTTATACAAAGCCCCGAGCCATTGATAGTCAATGGAAGACGAGGTCTCCACGAATCCGTTACACTTCGTGGCCTAGATAATTGCTCATAATCAGAACTTTGCACACGGTTTCAGGCAATCAGCTACTTGATTTGAAAAGCATGCAGAATTGACCAATGATGAGATGAGTAATTCCCTGTCCATACACGGCAAATTGTAATCATTGCGAGCAAGGTGGTAATAATTAACTCTCTGAATAATCATCCACTTCTATGACGCCTCATTGGTGTGCATACATCTATAATGAATGAGGGTTGCAACCGCGAGGCAACGCTCAAATATGGCAGTCATCCCAAGATCTGCATGGACGAACGTTGCCTACCCTCTGAATAGTTAATGCACTATGGCACAGATTCAGTAAGTATTTCCTGGAAAAAAAAGCATAATAGAGGTTTGGTTGTTTAAGAAACGTAACCCATTGTTTCAACTGCCACGCCAGAGGTGGCATCGAAACAGCAACCTCTAAAATGTAAGTTTAGTGCGATTACCATTACACCACAACAGCTGCCTTCCTTTCTCATATTGAAATGGTAAAACATATTACGTGTATTCCTCTAGTAACAAGTAGTTATCAGCTTATTTTCATATTGTTGTCATGAATGAAAAACAAACAACCTAACAACCATAATGTTTGCAAATAAATCCAATTTATAAACATTGTGGCACAGCAACATTCCTAAATATGAACTTTCAGTTATTGTTGATATTTACAAAATATGATATAATTTTAACTCTTCATTTTACTATACATATATGTGTATTCTTCTTTCATTCAGAAACATGGATACTTTGAAGAACAAGCTAATTAACTATAATTCCCCAAATAAAGGCATTCCTGCCAACATCTTGCTGCTGGGAAGGTCTGGCCATGGAAAGTCAAGCTTAATCAACACTTGGGAAACGGCAATAAGTGATCGAATTAGATCACGTGCAGTAACGGCTTCGACCAAGGGTTCAAGTACAACTCAACATGTAAGTATTGTAATAACTGTACAAGTAGTGAAGTCTTATTATGTTTGTTTACAATTAGACTCTTGTCATCAATAACATGAAATGCATACGCTTTAATTTGAAGATATCATGTATGCTTTGATATCTTACACGGATCCAGCCGTTACTTTGAAAAAAATTGAATGTCATCACAACGATAGAATACTTCATCCTCGGTATTATGGCTATCATTAAAATGTTGGAGAATCTGTCAACAATATTTTTTTACAAACGCAATTGTTATTTTAAATATGGCAGACATGTCGAGGTTGAGATTGTTAAATGACACGTAAATTCGTGGTTATCTGCGACTTCTCTGGCCTATTGGGCAATGTCCCTCACGAATTGAGAAGTGAAGTATGTTTGAAGGCTGCAATGAAGCCTCCACGCTCTCTGACGTGGGGTGTTATAGATGGAATGAGGTGAGCCAGTCCACTTTCTCCCAGTTAGCCGAAACACGTCCAACATCAGCCGTGGTCCGGGGTCTCTAGGGGTGTGTCTGGACTCCATAACCGAAGCAGTAATAGCAGCTGCAAGAGTCATGGTCCAGAATTCCCCTCGCATCAGGAGAGGGAGGAACGTTGCCAACCCCCATCCGCGAGCGATCATAAAATTGTCACTTTCAATCTTCATCAACAACCTGAGACCAGGCTCTTTGTGGGTTCGAAATGGAATCGAGAGTTGACGCCCGCAACCGCAGTGGAAGAATGACCGGCGCATCTTACAAATGACAATCTGATGGCGAGTTCAGCTCCACCATAAGCCCGCATGCGCTAGTCCAGCTGATGTACTTAGACCTGGTATGCATCCATGATGTTGCGTGGATGTGCTAATGCCATCACAGCGTGTTGGTTATTATAAGGCCATGGAGAACACAGAAGACCAGCAGCCTTCCACCATTGTTATTGAGCTGATCCGACCAATGTTTTCCAATACCTCCAGCCAAGGTAGCTGCGTTTTTATGTCACAGGATGACCCTATCCTGAGGGTCCACTTTCGACGAGCACCTGGGACTGGAGGTCAATGAAAGGCATCTGGCTTATTTGCCTTCCCTGTTTCCCTCCACGAAATGTTTCGGTCTTTCGGTAAATTAACGTAGATAAGTTGAAAGAAAATAACAAAAAAAACTATGACGTTTCGATCACAACACAAGCGATCGTCATCAGGAGGAACAAAGGAGTAAAGCTGCTGAGGCAGACTGTTTTAAAGATTTAAAATGGGTGTAGCCCAAAGGGTCATAAACAAAGTGGGCAGGGCTAGTGATGTTAATGTGAGAAATTAGACTGTTAATGTAAGTTCGCAGAACCTCTGCCGCATCGGCGTGCGAGGTGGCTGTGTTAGTTTGAGAAATTTAACCTGTTAATGTAAAATCAGAGAGCCGAAGGTAGGGTGTAAACATCACAGCCTGTTATGACTTAAACTTGTTAATAACGTCCTTCCAATGATTGCTCAGTGTGTACCCATCTTCTCAGTTGAAATTGCTTCTGTGTCTATATATATATGGATGGATTCATGAACGAATCTTTGTTGATAGCCAGTGGGTGTGCAAAGTACCTTCGACCTAATCAAAAATCTCTATTATTGATACCTTCGTCGGAGAAATTAATTTCGTGCGAGCCCACCGCATTAAAACAATGATTAGCCACAGCCGAGGTATTGGTGCTACCGTGTTTTAGATCTGCCTTATGTTCACGAACATGGTCCAAGGCATGACGCTTAGTTTCCCCAATGTAATCACTGCCGCAGACACGGCTTAGTTTGTAGACACCGGTGTCTACAAACTAAGCTGTGCCGGCCTTCAAGTTAGAAACCGCCGTCTTGATCGCCATTATTTTATTGGTAAAGAACGTCGCATGTACTGTGCACAGACCGGGTTGACCAGTTGATGGCTAGTTGTTGCATTGCAGTCGATGATGTTGTTGTTGCTGCTGCTGTTCTTGGTGCTGCAGTTGAATCTATTGCTGCTGTGGTTGATTCTATTGTCTTCCATTGTTTCTGTTGATGCTGTTATTCTTGTTGCTATTGCAGATGCCTTTGATCAACGCTAGCTAAGACCCACTGGGCGGTGCAGAATGTAGCATTATGTCCTTCTGCTCTCAAATAATAATTGTATTGTCCAGGTTTTACTCGGAGAGCGGTGGTCCAGTCCAAGGCTGTGTGAATTGTAAAAGCTACACGTTGGTGTTCCCGTAATGGGATAACGCTTTTGATCACTATCTTTGATCAACGCCTTTGACCAAGCACCGTTGATCGATGCCTTTGTTGCGTGTGATTGGAATGCTGTGTGATCAAAATTCCCTGTATGTCATTGAATGATGTGTGATTGAAATGTTGTTTATGATTGAATTGCTGCGGGTGTGTGTGTGATTCATCTATTGTGTGTGTGATTTAATTTCTGTATGATCGAAATGCCATGTATATGAATCGAATGCTGTGTGTGTGATTGAAATGCTGTGCGTTTGGTTAAATGCTGTGTGATTTGAATGCTGTGCAATCGGAATCATTCTCCACCTATCAATCCGCCGTATTTTTTTACCCTTCTGCCATCGAAGTCGCTAACTTTTTCACGTCTAAAATCGACTCCATCCATTCCTAATTTTCTTTCTCTTCGACTCCCTCATCCGTTCCATATTTTTTCCTCGCATGCACCTCGTCTTTTACTCCAACATCTACTTCTGAAATCTCCTCCATCATTTCTAAAGCCAACACTAATCCCCGTCCACTGGACTCCATACCCTCCTACCTCTCATTCTCTCCTACTCATCATCGTTTATTTCACGCATCGTCACCATCTTCATCGTATATTACCGTCCTTCTCATCAACACATCTCATTTGACCACTGTTCTGTTGTAAACATTGCGATGTTTGGTTCAGCACCTTGGTAAAAGCGTTTTAAAAAAAAAATTTGAAATATAAAGAGATGAAGGCCAGCGTTGCATACAAGCATTGTTTACACAATGCACCAGGTTCTCATATAAGACATACTCACTAAAACAAAGCATTAAACATTCACATTTCGAGTGGTTTGTCAAACACGCTTTCAATATATTGTGAAAGAGTAAATATATGTACTCCATTTAATCGCAAATTCAATATATTTATTTAGTTAACTGGTTTAAACCGGTAACCACGTACATTTTTTTGGTAATGTCATTTTCCTAGTTCTGGAAAACGGGTAACAGAAAAGGAACTAGTAGACCTACTTTCTTTCATGTTCAACTTTCTGAATAAGACCATTAATAATATCAGTAGCAGCCAAACAGTTATAATCTCAATACAATTTGTACTGACTTTTTTTTACCAGCTCCATTAACTAGAGAATTCGACTGATTTTAAGCAGCTGTGGTTGAAGTTACCGATTGTGTGTACCACTAGATCACGCTAAAAAACTAAACAGCCGAAATGGCAACATGTCAATCACACTGTTAGTCTCAAATGCAATGTTTATTAATGCAATATATTAAATTTGGACAGTGTATTTACGCGTGTGTGTATGTCTGCTTACATGCAAATATATTGCAGTTTCTAAAGTATCAACTTACATCGTTTCAAAACCAAAAGGAAACACCAATTAACGTAAATGTCATGGACACCATCGGATGGGAACCTCAGACATTCACATTTGAAATGTTTAACAAGATTCTCAATGGTCAGATTGAAGATAAACAAAGTGTGAGTATGTTGCACACCATTTTACTGTTGATTTGTATTCACAACAAAGTTTTTTTAATCTCCAGAATACTGTGTCTAGTAATTTAGTAGTATATAGTAATATAGTAGTTTCTAGTAAAATAGTATATAATACTATAGTAGTATATAGTAATATAGTAGTACATAGTAATATAATAGTATATAGTAATACTAGCGGGAAGCACCCGGCATTGCCCAGGCAAAAAAGACAGACACACATCGACTTACACACACTTACAGACATTGACCCACACACACACACATCGACTTACAACAACAACCGCCATTCGCCACTAAGTGGCGATGACGTCACCACGACGCTTGTGCAAGGCCATGTGCACCTTGAAGCCACGTGAAGTGTCGAACGCCCGCTGACAGGAGGTCACGGGGCAGACCCAGGTGCCACGGGCTGACTGACTGAGACGACTGGCTGATGCACCACCTGTGCCCCCTACTGTGCCAACTTGCTGTGCTTTAGCCACCCGGCGCTCCGCTCGTTGTTGTGAGCATCGCTCCTCCGCCCTCCGTTGTTGTTGGAGGGCGACTGCCTCAAACTGCCCAGTAGCGTCCTTCACTAGCCTCCTCCACAGAGGCCAATCTTGACACCGCTTGTACCAGTCATAGGTAAGTACACGCAGCTCCACGTCCTCCTATACCACATCACTCTATCTCTTCTCTAGCCCATGCCGCGCCCGTTTAGCCCCATTGATCTGGCTGAACAAAAGCTGTTTAGGCATGCGGTGGCTGGGCATGCGGGCTACATGACCCAGCCAACGCAGCCTTGCCTGCCGGAGGAGCTCACCGATGGGACCTTATCCAGATCTTTCAAGGATTTGTGAGCTCCTCACACAATCCAGCCTGGTTAAACCCAGGATGGATAGTAGGCAGGCTAGCCTAAATGTTTCGAACTGGCGAAGATGTTCAATTAGAGGGGTCCACGTTTCGCAAGCGTAGAGAAGGGAGAGAATGACCGAGAAGACCTGAAGCTTAGTGCGGAGCGACAGACCAGGTAGCTTCAACACACAGTGTTACGCAACCAATGAAAAGATAATTCTGCTCGGCTGATTCAGAGTGAGACTTCCCCTGTTAAACTGGAGCTGGTCATAAGCACACTGCCCAGGTATGGGAAACTCTCCACTCTCTCTACAACTGCCCCATCGCCGATTGGGAGTTGTGGGGGTGGAGTGTCCGATAGTACAAAATACCCAGGCAGGTGCTTAGTTTTGGTGGGGCTGATGGTAAGGCCCCACCTCTTAGTGGCATGCTCAAGTCTGACCAGCAGCATCTCCAACTCCTCCTCTGAATGAGCAGCTATTACCAAATCATCGGCATACATAACGTGGGTGAGCAATAGGGAGCCATCCCTTGACTGCACTCAGGCATCGATCAGCCTCCCATTAGATCTGTACCAAATGGAAATTCCCCCCGGTACAGCTATTGAAGGCTTCACGAACTACGTGGTCAAAATAGATGTTAAATAATGTGGGAGCCAGAGGACATCCCTGTCACACCCCAAGGTGTACAGGGAATGGCTCTGACTCCCGGCCACGTAGTTTTACCTGGGCCCGCTCACCATCATGAAGGTCCTTAATGATCATGAGCAGAGGGTCAGGGACTCCAAAAGCACGAAGAACAACCCAGAGCCCAGGCCTGCTGATGGTATCATAGGCCTTGACCAGGTCAATAGAGCAGAGATGTAGGTCTTGTTGGAATTCCCCACACCTCTGCTGTAGCAGACGGACAGAAAATATGGCATCTGTGCAGGACTGCCCTTTCCTGAAACCGCATTGGGGCACTGCAAGCCTCTCCTCAGCGTGCCTAGCAAGGTGATGTTGAATAATCCTTGCCAGGGCCTTTCCCGGCACACTGAGGAGTGATATCCCCCTGTAGTTGTTACAGTCTGTGTGGTCCCCGTTCTTAAAAAGGGGAACCACAAGGGCATCCTTCCAATTCTGGGAAACCCATCCAGTGGTCCAGACTGTTGTTATGATGTCATATAGGGCAGTCTGTGCACAAATGCCACCCTCCCTCAGCATTTCGCTTGTTAGATCATCTCTGCCCAGTGCCTTTCCTGGTCTCAGACTCCGGATCGCCTTCAGTAATTCCTCAACAGATGGCACCTCAGCCAGCCACTCACAGGGGGTGACTTCTTCTTCCAATATTTGAGGCATCGCAGACTGAGCAGGATCATCCCCAAATTGTCCCACGTTGTTCTCCTGGCTGAGGGATTTCCCCTCCCCCAGGACCTCAAAGAAATGCTCAGCAAATCTGCAAACCTGTTCCTGGGGGTCGGAGATTGGATCACTGTTTTTTTCCCCTAACGATGGTAATAGGTGTGGCGCTGCAGGTTACTTTTTTGATGGAGTTAAATAGGGATTTCTGATTGCGGGCCACTGAGGCAGACTCCATCTCCTCAGCAACCCGTGACCACCACCCATCCTTGCAGCGCCTCACGGTTCTCTGAACCTCTGAGCGAATTCTGCAGTAAGCCTCCTCATTCTCTGACGTGGGATGCTGTAGCCGATGAGAGTCGGCCTGTCGCTCTTTCTCAACAATCCTGAACACCTCCTCTGTCAGCCAGGGTCTCTGGGGAGGTCTGGACCGCGTACCCAAAGCAGCCATTGCAGCTGCATGAGTCACAGTCCTAAACCTCGCCCATTTACCCTCGACATCAGGAGGAGTGGGGCACGATGCCAACCCCAGCCGCAAGCGATGATTAATTTCTCGCTTGCATATTTCATCAGCTAACTGAGACCAGGCCACTTTAGGTTGGAATGGGGTCCTGGGTGTACACCCACCACCGGAGTGGAAGAATGGCAGGCACATCTTACAGATGACTAGTCGATGGTCAGAGGGCAGATCAGCTCCACGGTAGGTCCTGGTGTCAAGGGCATGGGCTCGCATCCGCCGGTCCGTCACTATGTAGTCCAGCAGATGTTCTTGCTTGGACCCGGCATGTATCCATGATGTTGTGTGGATGTGCCGATGCCGGAACAGCGTGTTGGTAATTACAAGCCCATGGGCTGCACAAAAATCTAGCAGCCTCCTACCGTTGTTATTGAGCTGATCTGGCCCATGCTCTCCAATCACTCCAGACCAGGTGCCAGCATCATCACCAACTCGGGCATTGAAGTCACCCAACAATTTGACTCTATCCCGGGGGGCACTTTAGCCAGCACCTGTGACAGGAGTTCATAGAAGGCATTTGACTCATAGGCTTTGCCTGCATCCCTCCATGGATGTTCGTCTTCGGTGGGGGCATAAGTAACCACGACCACCACTCCTCGCCTCCGGTTGATGGGAAGGCAAGCCCACAGTCCATGACAGAGTTGCCCGTCTGGCACCGCGAGGAGGTAGGGGGTTGTTTTGCCAGACACGCACACACTTCGACTAACACACACATCGACTGACACACACTCACATTCCGACTCACACACACAAATGGCCTCACACGCACACATGGTCTTAGACACACACATATTATTATTTTAAACTTTAGTAACCTAATAGTTAAATATTAGCTGTGTACACACACACACACCATGCACACACATCAACAGACACACAGGCATATTAACTCATGCACACACACACATCGACTGATACACACACGGACATAGACACACACACATGGTTGCAGACACGCACATGGACTCACACGCACAGAAGGACTTAGGCACAATAAAAGATATATTAATATTGACCAAGTAAATAACAGGTTTCTATGTACTTGAGTTTAGCGAAAGAAGCAAAGAATAGAAATATTATTTGTGTGCACACAAACATTATTAATGTAATGTTGCAAGATTATTATAAAAAAACTAGGTTTCTATTTATGTGAGTTTACACAATATAAAAAAAAAATAATCACCAAGTTAATACAAAATATTAGTTTTGAGCACACAAACACAAACATTTTAATATTTCCAAGGTGATTGTTAAAATTACAGGTTTCTATGAACGTGAGTTTCGCGAAAGAAGCAAGGAAATTGAACTTGACATTGCCGTGGTGAGGCCTAGTCCCGTGAAGAGCCCCCGGCCTCGCCTATATTGCCCAGCCGGCGGAGGTGGCACCTTGGCAGGCTGGGGGCTGCCCCCCCCCCCACCATCCCCTCGCCCGCACTACAATAATACTATCTAAGCGCTATAATATTAATATCTACTTTAAAGTTGAGGGACGTAAAAACGATTGGTCCACCACGGGGCTTATGGCCTGATTCCTGGCTAATTTTGTATTACGTAAACCCCACCATTCGAGAGCCAAATCCTTTGCAAGTGCGGGTCCACACACCCACACGCACACAAACAGACAAAAACGCCTTTCATGTATAAGATAGTAAGATAGTAGTATATAGTTACATAGTAGAATATAGTAATATCGCAGTATTCGTGAAATAGTACTATATAGTAACAGTAATATATGGTAAAATAGTAGTATATAGCAAAATAGTAGTAAATAGTAATATAGTAGTACTGTATATTTGTTTTCAGAAGTATTGTGACCTGCAGAACAAGTGTAGTGAGTCCAACTGAGTCGCAGACGTTGTCTTAGGGAGCAACACGTTTATTCAACTATTAACACAACAGTCTCCAGGGCTATTAACACAACACACTCGAGGGTGGTGACCACCCAACTAACCACGCTATGGCGGAACTAGACACGGTTCCACTATCCCGGTCCGGACCACAATCTGGGTCCCCACCCACCTCCTCGATCTCTCTCGCCCTTGCCTGATGGCTCTTGAGAGTTTATCCCGGACCATGTGAGCACCCGTTGGCCCCCTCTACCGGTGGCCCCCCCTCCAGTATCATCCGGTCACGTGTCCCCAGGTCAGCCAGAGTATCATGCCCCCAACGTAACCCCAGCTGGCTGACGCTCTCTCGCTCTCTCAACGGGAGCCCACCACCGCACGCTGTGCGTGGTGCCATCACGCTAGAACCAGCGCTCAACCCAAGCCCCCACTAGGGCTGGTACTACACCCCATGCCCGGGGTGTACACACAACAGTATACCTCCCGCCGTGGCCTCGCAGGCCCAGCACAGCAGAGTGACAATCCCAGTCACTACACAAGTAAAACGTTAACAAGAGAGAACCAACATCTGAAACAAATGTTGAGCAAATGCAACATAGTGCACAACAGTGAATGTTTAGACTTAAGAAGGGGAGTCATCCGTTGAGCTTTACCAAAATGGGGAATATTTTTCAGATCCCCAAAAAATCGTTTACAATTTTAACCTTCATTTTTCTGAAGCTGGTAATCTTTTTGATAATGTATTGGGAGTTACTCCTGGTCATGCAAATTCATACACCCCTGTCCAACCATTAAACGAATTTAGTTTCCAGTCAATCCACGAAAGTAATGTTCTGAAACAACTGTCCTACCTCAAAGGGTCCTCATCTACCGAAGCAGATAGTATTCCCGTCTTTGCTCTACTAACTGTTGGTCACCTAATATACAAACCTATAGCCCATATTTTCAACCTGTCCATCAATGAAGCATCAGTTCCTCTAGAATGGAAACATTCCTATGTCCGTCCACTTCACAAAGGGGGTCAAACAGTGTTAAGATAACAAAAGGGGTTCCCCAGGGTTCCATCCTCGGCCCACTCTTGTTCTGTCTATTTGTCAATGACTTGGGCACTGACCTGGATCATTCCAGGGTAAATCTTTTTGCAGATGACACGATACTGGTTACTGCTGGCCGCTCTCCGGATGACGTGATTGCTAAGCTCCAGGGTGATTTCAACAAACTACAACATCAGCTAGTTGCTCTTAAACTAGTCCTGAATACCTCCAAAACCAAGGTGCTATGCTTCTCACCAGGACTAAAGCAGGAAGTAATTTTTCCAAAATTACATTCCTTAAATAATGATCAAATAGAGCAAGTTAAGATCTATACGTATCTTGGGGTCATCCTGGATTCAAAACTGATTTTTGAAGATGACATTGATTATATTGGTAAAAAGACAAAAAAATTGTTTTTCTGTATCGACACAAGCACTTATTCTCCCCTATGTTCCGTTTGGAATTGATAAAAGCTACCATACTGCCTCTACTTGACTACTGTGATATCGTGTATAAATCAGCCCCAAGTACTGTACTGAAGAAGCTTGATTCCATCTATCACTCGGCCTTAAGATTTGCATTGAACTGCCCATATAGGACTCACCACTGTGATATCTACATTGGGTCAAACACAACATCTCTTAATGTTCGACGGCTTGTGCACCAGATTTTGTTTGTTCACAATGTACTTACAAAAAAATCCGTAGACTACCTGCTGGCTTTATCTTGGTGATTTCGAAAAGTTTTTTTTGGCCATGTTTGTATGTTGTAGTATGGAGTTAGACTGATGGCCTTAATCTAAGTTGTCTTGTGGTTGTTGTTGTTGTTTGACTTGCAATCCACTGGGATTTTTGCACACAACGTTGGTTTACGGTGCTTTTTCGGGAATATTTTGCTGTTTTTTCCTGTATTTTCTGTTTGTACAGTCACATAGTCACTTTAAGATGTTTTCTTGTTCATGTTTTTGTTTTTTGCTTGTTGCGGTTGCACCCGATTCAAGAGCCGAATTACTCACAGGGCTATACCAACATAAATGAAACTGAAACTGAAATAGATTTTGCTTACCTTTTTTGCTCATTAAACCAACTCCATCCATTCCTCATTTCCTTCCCCTTCACCTACTGTGCCGATGTTTCAATTGTTTTCCTGGCATGCACCTCAAACAAGTGAACTTTCTCGTATTTTACTCCAACATCTGCTCCTGAAACCTGCTCCATAATTTTAAAAGCCCTTCCTAATCTCTGTCCACTGGACCCCATCCCCTCCCTCTGATTCTCCCCTACCTTTTATCCCTCTTCAATTATTCGGTTTCCTCTGGTGCCTTCTCTATGAACTTCAAAGCTGTTATCATCTTTCCCCTCCTTACAAATCTTATCTCGATTCTTTTCACCCTGATAATTACTATCCGATTCCCCTTATAATTTTATTTCCTAAACTTCTTAAATGCCTGGTTCACTCCTGCCTCACTCGGGACATTCCTTCTCACTCTCTATGCTCACGATTCCCAGCAGCGTTTCATTTCTTCGATTCTACTAAATCGGCCATACTAGCAGTACAGAGCTATTTGTCAAACTCTGCTCACGCCGGCCATTCTTCTATTCTCATTCTACTCGACCTTACTGCAGACTTCAATAGAGTTGACCATCTCACTCTATTGTCTACTCGTTCCTCTCTCGGTATCTCGGGTATTCCTCTTTCCTGACGTCAGCCCTCAGACTGACGTCATCAAACCACATCACTTACCCCCATCCCTGGTCACTGTCGTTGTCTCCCAACGTTCTGACCTTTGTTCAATCCCTTTTTCTCTCGATGTCTCTCCACTCAAATCCCTCCTCTCGTCATTCATTGCTGATAATAAACACATTTTCCCCTCCGTCCCCTTTTTCACTCCTGACCTAGTTTCTCACTCCTGACCTAGTTTCTCACTCCTGACCTAGTTTCTCACATTGCCAGATGATTGATCGCCATCCAATCTTGGATGTCAAAGCACTTTATTTCTATAAACCGTGCCAAATCCTACATTATTTTTCCCCCATGTTTCCCATTCCCTTCCTCCCTGACAGACTATCGCCACACTCCTTTCTCTCTTCTGTCTGTCTCGTCTGCCCTAAATTTTGGCAGCGTCATTTTTGACTCCTCTCTCTATCTGACTACATCTCTGCCAATATCAGTTCCTGGCGCTTTCACCTGTGCAGCGTTCGCAAAGTTCACCCCCCTGATCTCAAACATTTCTGCAACACTTCTAATATGCTCTCCCATCTTAACTCGGCTCAATTACTGCATCTCACGCACGCTTTTTCTTCTCTCTCATGCACCAAACCCACTCCAACAAATCCAAAATGCCGCTTCTTTCTACACTATTTCATGCCCTCTCCACTGACAATCCTGTTTGTCCCCCCTCTTCTTTGTGCCCAATCAAGATTCCTTTCTTCTTCACTTCTGACCCAGTGATACTGGAGCAGACTGCACATACAAAGTCCCACTGTCTACCCAAACTCCCATTTCCCCCTCTCTTCTCACAACCTCAGCTCCATCCCTCTTCCCAACTTTCCTACCCATTCATAACAGTCACTCATCATTATCCACTCGTTGTCAGTTTCGTATTTATTTATGTCACGCATCACCATATTCATCATGTACAACCATCCTTCTCATCTACTCATCTCATCCCACCACTGTTATGTGGTTCAAATTGCTAAATCTTTGTTCAGCACTCTGGTTAATGCGCTACATGAAATAATAAAATAAGATAATATTCCAAATTATCATTATTTTAGATTGTATAGTATAGCTGCAATAGCAAATTAACATTAGAAAAAAAAATGTTTCAAAGTAAAAAAAAAAATGTGACCATAATAATTTTGCATTTTTTTTTGGTCAGTTTTCTGACAAGACAGAAATGACGTCTGAACCAAGGAACAAGGTGCATTGCGTGGCCTACGTCGCTGATCTGAATCAATTTCAAAATGTGGAATTAGATGACTTGGAGATTTTTAAGAGATTTGGGAAGTATGCACGTCAAAAAAAGAGTAAGATCTTTTCACTCATGTGTCCTGTGTTTTGCCCACACACTTACAGCTTATTATCGTGCTTTTGTACACAACTTTTTTACCTCATTGTTACTGTTTCTTAATTTTTAGGCCTAAAATATACGATTATGTAACATTAACAATATGTATATTATTCGATTATAAGTAATTGAATATGTCAATACATAATAGCATGCCCGCATTAGTCAGACTAATGCAATGTATATATAATCAATCCCCTATGAATAGGCAACAATAAAATATAATCCATATAACCTATGATAATGCCTGCCAGTTAGGTCTGGATGTGCTTAGGATAATATAGATTGCAGATACTATTTATCCTTCATACATTATTTTTTTATTTTACTCATGGCCCCATGGCGATTAAGCACAAGCTCACTTCGGACCAGTTTCTACCTACATCCTCTCACGATCAGAGTCAGGCTTGCTTCAAGATGTCACTCTGTAAGAAGCTCCAAGGCAACAGTTCTGGAGCATCACAGAACATCCATTAGGTATCAGTCACGTGAGTTTGATACGGCGTCTAGAGATATATACTGGCAATCTAGACTACATTTAGTAATAGGTTTTTACCCTTTTATCTGGCAACAAAACTGACACCTGGATACAAGGGATCATGTTTGCAATAACCACAACACTTGCAGTCAAAATGCAAACAAAAAGAAAACTCTGCTAATGATGAAAAGCACTGTTCTTGAAAAATGGATGGCTTCTTGAACGAATCTTTATTGATAGCCAGTAGGCTTGCAAAGTGCCATCATCTTAGATAAATACATTTCGTGTGAGCCAGCCGCATTAAAATAATGTTGATGTAACTGCTGCCTCAGATTGCGCTTACTTTGTAGACACCGGGATATTGCATGTCAAAATCTTTGCCTTCACAGATATGATCAGATCACACATTTTACATCTTGTGTTTAAATCGAACCTGAATCTTGGGTTTTGTATGTGGCAGGAGTTACTTTGGGGAAACTAAGTGACATGTTGCGGACTGTGTTCGTGAGCATAAGACAGATTTGAAACACGTGAAGATCAATACTTCTGCCGTGGCTGATCATTATTGTAATGCGGCTGGTTCACACCAACATTTATTTCTCTAAGACGATGGTACTTTGCAAGCCTACTGGCTATCAACAGGAACGCACGCATACGAATGCATATCTAAAACCTGACTCCCACCACCATCCATCCCTGAAGAATTCCCTCATCAAAACTCTACACCATAGTGCTCGATGTATTCTGACCGTCATCACCTAGCCTGTGAACTGGAACACGTACACAAAGCTCTCAAGATGAATGGGTATTCAGACTACACAAACCATTAAGCTATCACCCCAACTGTTGGCAAAGAACCATCTGAGGACCCAATCAAAACCATCACCTTGCCATACATAGCAGGGGTCACTAAAAATACTTGCAATATCATGACCAAACACAAGATCCTGGTTCGATTTAACACAGTACATAATATTCGTGATCTGATCCCATCTGTGAATCATGTGATCCCTGACATGCAATACCCTGACGTCTACAAACTAAGCTGTGACCGTGGCAGTAATTATATTGGGGAAACTAAGCGACATGCATCTAACCGTGGTTGCGAGCATAAGGCAAATCTGAAACACAGGTAGAACCAATACCTCGGCCGTGGCTGATCATTGTTTTAATGCGGTGGGCTCACACGAAATTGATTTCTCTAATATGAGCATACTTTGCAAGCCCACTGGCTATCAACAAATATTCCTTCATGAAGCCATCCATATATATACAAAGACACAATTTCAACCGTGAAGATGGGTCCAAACTGAGCAATCATTGGAAGGATGTTATCAACCAGTTTAAGTTATAATTGGCTGTGATGTTCCCATCCTACCACCTTCCGAAGTTAGTTGTGCTTCACGTCCATCTCAAACTTGCGCTTTGACAGGATTCACACCAAACACAGCCACTCCGCGCGCCGACTACCCCCTGGTTGTGGCTCTGCGATTTGCCATTAACATGATAATCTCTCATTAACGTGCACATTTTCACCTGGCAGCCCTTTGAGTGGTGGAAAACCAACCACCGTCAAGTTGGCTGCCCACAATTTTGCATTAACATTGGCTGCTGACATTTGGGCTACGCCCATTTCAAGCACTTAGAAATAGTTTACCTTTGGAAGCTAACCCCCCTTTTGCCTGAAGACGACCGCTTTGTGTTGCGATCGAACCATTATAGTTTTGTGTTAATTTATTTGAACCTATCTCCATTACGTGACTTTTCCGAAAGACCCAAAGAATACACGTGTCTTTGTACTGTTCACCTTTTGGCGTTCTCTGGTCTGACACTGGTGAGACCAGGCCCTAAAGAAGGCTGCTGTCTCTGGTGTAGACCAAACAGTTTCAAAGACAATGCATAAATTATCAGAGCATGTTTGTTTGCATGTTCACCACAAGTACGTGTGGTTAATGCAGACTTGATTCCATGCAAAGGTTTCTAATTGGTGTTTGAACATCTTAATTCACCACCTATTTTATTGACAGGAAGGATTAAAACCTAGTAACATATTTTTTTATACTTTGACACCGGCAAAAAGGTCCCATTTTGGATTGACCTCGCCTGCTGATGATGAAAAAGACAACATTTCAAAGTGTTCCTTTAATTACCCTGAAGCATAGTATCTCCAATGTACAAATGTATTACATTAACAATTATATCTTTTTTTTGTATTGCAGATATCAACACGTTCGTTATAATTACCAAAGTAGATGTGTGTTTACCTGAGGGAACATCAATTAGTGACATCTACAAAGTAAAGAACATTGAGACGATGGTAATTATTATAAAAAATCATATGCATTCGTCTCCTTTTCACTGTGTTGGCTTCGCGTTGCATTGTTACAACCAATTACAAAATCGTTATAGATATTGTGATTGTATTTGATCAAAGATTACGGGGAATACTTGCTTTGTAATGAGATAACATACAATAAGCTGACATTTAAGTTGGTTTACATTTCCTCATCTAATATATGCAGCCATTGATTTACTGAATGGCTGACATCGATTGTCATGATATTCCTGAAGGGTTATAAACCTGATATCTGTCACAAATATTAAAGGGTGCTTGAATAATACATTCTGGAATTGTGATTCTAATTTTAGTGAAATTTGAACCCAGGCAACACAAAGCTGTCTTCTAATGAAGGGTGCTGATCATGAATATGAATTAAAAAATAATAACATGAAATGTTAAATATTTTTACTTTGCATGCACACACACTTACTCTGCCACGTAAATATAGAACGTGGCCACGTTGTCACGTTCCATTCTAAACCTTGAATTAGTCTTTGGAAAGGTCCATGGATTGAAATCGAAAATTAAAGTAACAATCTAAACTCAGATTTTTATTTTTGTCACGTAGTAAAATGTGTGAATGCTAAAACCGATTTCAAGTTAGTCATGGACGATTGTAGCTACGAATAGTGACGAACAAAACATATTTAGTTCTTCACGTTCAATTGCATTGCAGTAACCGTAGCCGGTAGCATAATGAAGTTACTTGTGAATATGCTTGCCTGTTATTTCCGACTCTCTGTGTGTCTCTCTCTCTCTCTATGCCTCTCTCTTAGATCTCTCACGCTCACATGTCCTTTGCATTGCACTTTCATGCCTTTGGATTGCACTCTCATGCTCACAGGCCCTTTGGATTGCACCCATTGGGTTGCACTCCCTCGTCGAGGAGACCGCTTTCCTATCTTACAGTGACATGATAATTTCTCACATTAGCATCACTAGCCCCATCCACTTCTTCATGACCCTTGGGCTACACCCATTTCAAACCTTTTAAAACAGTCTGCATCAGCAGCAGACCCACGCTTTCCCACCCGATGACGGACGCTTGTGTTGCGCCCGAAACGTCGTGATTTATTTTATTTTATACCTACGTGACTTTACCGAAAGAACCAAAGAGTATACCCACGGTAACTGTAACCTATTTCACGTTGAAAAAGAACGGTGACAAAATGTACGCGAAGAAATATGCTTCAAATTTAAACGGAGAGACAAAAAGAGCAATGCGTCGATTACATAACAGGTGTAATGAGTGACTCCCCACACCAATCTAGTAGATGGCTTCTTATTTATTAATACCACACAGGGCGATACACTTCATAACGTGGCTACACCGTAGGCTGGTCAAACACGCAGCCCCTCTCGGTCCCACGCTATGCTGGCTGGTTGATAAGCGGAGCGGCGGCAACGGAGAAGAAAAAGAACAGCCACGTGGTCTAAGATAAAGGTGACAACGAGCAGTGATGCAACTGCCATCATGTTTCTTAGGGAGCACCACAGGCACTCCCTACGGGCTGGAAGAAGGATGAATAATATCGGCGACCAACATCTCATCTAACGATTCCTGCACGTGTTCCTTCTCCAACGGACTCAACCGATATGGGTTCTGACGTATGGGCCCGGCCACCCCTGTATCAATGTAATGTTCCAACAGTGAGGTACGGCCAACATCGAACTTGTCTTTACTAAACATGTCCTAAAACTCGCGCAGCAGCGATCACGTTTCCCCCTGCTGCACTCGAGACAAATTCTGGTTCTCCTGACACAACACCTCCGCCCAGGTCTCGTCCTCTGCGGTGTCTTTTTCCACCGCGCCAAAAACATCGTGGTTGCGCAACACCATCCCGTTCGTGAAACATGGCTGTCACGTGAGCCAACACCATTCCCACCTGAACCACAGCCATCTCCAGGCCTACATTCAACACCTGCAAGAACGGCCCCTGGTTGAGGCGGACGACTGTCTGTGCGCCAACTTGCGCCATACTCCGAGTCACCGGATTCGACAGAGTCAACAAGACACCCGATTGAGGGTCCGCTGCCTGTATCCACCAACATCCGCGATCCCGGCGGGATATACACCGTGTCCTTGGCAAGAGCCTGGACCATAACATTAGCAACGGTACTCTTGTGTGGAGACCACACACACAAAAAAAACAGTCTGCGGCCCGACAGTAATTCCATGCAGTACTGATCAATGAGGATCTTAAGGGGCATTTTACTAAAAAAAATCCATGCCCAAAAACCAGGTCACCTCTAACATCCTCGAGATCAGTACTGTCACAACAACTGAAATCTCGCCAACCTCGTCACGGGCCTTTATTTCCCCCATACTACCCCCGTTCGCCTCGATGCACTTGTTCACTACCAGCCTAACAAGCCGTTCCCTGATCGGCAACAGTTCAAAAATCACATCCGAAATGATAGTGGCGGAAGCACCCATATCAACTAACACTCGCAAATGAATTCCTTGAATAGAACCTGAGACAGTCGAGGCCCCTGCGGCAGACGCAATAATCCGACGTTCTAACTTTTTCCACTGTGTCCCTGAACTAGGCCATCCCTGTGTAAGCAATCCCTGCCCCCCGGCGGCAACATGAGTGTGATACAGGGTGGCGATGACTTTCCTAAGCCTATATGCATGAGGTTGTAACATAGGCCAAGTGTCTGGTGTGTCGCGACTCGCCTGTTGGTGGTTGGGACGCAGCAGTCGTCACCCTCCATCAGTAGGCCCTCTGTCGGTTGATTCACGACGTTCTGTGGCGACACCCAACTCGATCGCCATCTCGGCCCGGGTTTGCCTATCCATGCTGCCATCTGGGACCAACGGCGCAAGTTTTCGTGTGCCTGCAGGGCATCAGGCGGCCAATCGGGACATCTGCTCATCCTCGTCAATGACCGGCAAGATGACCCCCATCTCAAGCCCCAACATCCTTTCCATCACCAGGCAGTCAAGGGCCTAAACAACGCGCAGCGGAGTTTGAGGGGGCTATCTCGGCATCCCCTCGCCTCCACTGCAAAAACTTACTTCAGCTGTCGGAGGGTGGTTCGTATACTTCGGGCCATCTTGGCGCGTGCGTCTTTTGAGCATTGGCTTCTTCCTGGCGGGTGGTGCTGAAAAACAGCGAGCACGGCAGAGCTGTTAGCACTTCCTCCTCGGTCAAATTCACTGACCGGTAAGCGCTCCAATCGCCCCGTGCCGCAATGAATGATCTCACGGTGGGGGGGGGGGGGGGGGGGGGGCATTCGGCGGTTCCGTTCTGATAATTTTTGCTGCGTTGACGGCAACAGGCGTGCTCTAAAATGGCGTCCCCCGGCTGCGCGTCTCCCGTGCTGCACATGATGGTGGCCTCCGGCCGCGTGGCCTCTGATTCTCGGGCGGGTTGGCCGTCTCCCCTCTGGCATGTGAAGTCAGCCCCGCCAATGTGGCAACCGCCAGGAGCTCCACCTTTTTTGCGCGAGCATTGCACGCAGGAGCTCCGACTGATCCGACAGGATGCACCATCCAAGATCGGGTTTGCCGCTGTGAGGAAGCTGTCTCTGGTCCCGCCGTCTCTGGCGCCACTGCTTCTCCCGCCGTGACTTGGGTAACCAGACGTGGTTGCCGGGGCTGTTATGAGGACCAGCGTCTTCATCCTTGTCATTGTCGGAAGGCGCCGCAGGTGGGTTCTGCTTCCTCTGATACTTCGACGTAGTTTTTATTTTATTTTGTCACTATCCTTCTTTTGGTAAAAAAAAAACAAAAACATGTTGCCACTCTCACACCAAATGTAGTGAGCGACTGCCGACACGTCTAGTAGAAGGCTTCTTGTTTTATTAAGAGCACACGGGGTGATACACTTCGTAACGCTGCTACACCCAGGCTGTTGAAACAAGCAGCCCCTCTCCGTCCCACGCTACGCTGGCTAGTTGACAAATGGAGCGGTGGCGACAGAGCTGGTCTTGCAGAAGAACAGCCATGTGGTCGACGACGAAGATTATGGCAAGCAGCGACGCAACCGGGACCCAGACCCCATACTAACAGCCCCGAAGCTCTGGTTTGGTGCTCCTTATATCTGCCTGGTGCGGCCAAGCTCCACCTCTGGCCACGCCCCTTTTCTAGAACCTTCAAGATGGTTCCCGGAGCTTCTCGACTGACTCCTCCCTTCACCTTCATCCCAGATATTGTCCCTTCATCTTAAGGCATTATGTAATGCAGCCATAACCGTAATTACCCCTTCAGGCCAACAGGTGTTACCCTATTCTTGGTTCTTTCGATAAAGTCACGTTATTGTTTCCCTTCAACGTGACTTTACAGAAAGAACCAAGAATATAGGTGTTACCCTGTCATTACACAGGTAAGAGACATCATATTGACTATTAAATAGCCTAAAAGAGCAGACCTCTATATTCCAAACTACTGATGATTCAAATAGTGAGTCCTTGTCCACAATTTTTCCCGAATATTATTTGGAACAATTTAATAGACTACCAGAGGAGAATGTTTGTCTCAGTTGGAGCACGCATTAGGCACATAAGTGACTTAAAGAACATTGAAAGGTTTACAACTTAAACTCGATATGTTCCTCAACCAGAGGACTATGGTAGCCACATTAACCTTTAGGTCGTATTAGGCCTCTTCCGATACAGTTAAAGATCTTTTACCTAATGGATCAGGTGTCACAAATCAAAATCATAAGTCCCGTGTGTCCATGTCTTAAAAGGGGTGATCTAGCCCACAGTCCAGATATAAATTCTATATTTCAGATATTCAGAAAATGTGTTCATCTCTCCAATCAATGGAAGCAATCGAGTCCTTATTGGTGGACCATGAGTTATCTGACAAACTGGAGGCCACTCCAAGAACGTAATTTATTTTGATGGCTATGTTTTCTCCGAATTTCAAAACCTTACGTAGAGCTTCATGGCACGTTGCCTGGTCCTCTTGAATGGTATCTTATCTGAAACTGGAATATTTTATAAAGTTTGCAAACCTTCCATGA